TACACCATGCTGCTGCTTGTTGTCCTTGAGTGTAAATGAGGAGTCTGTTAACGTGCCTGTAATTGCTTTAAAGCTTTTAAAATATTTTAGGATATAGTCAAAAATACTCCAAGTCCTCAGTATTCAGAATAAAAAGGAGCAGTACCTGGCTGCTACCACTTCTAACACCATTGAAATTCTTCAATTTGAACTGATTTTTTTCTGGTTTTGGTGCAGAATTCATTAGTGCTGTTTATGTATAAAGGTGGTTTAAAAAAAATTGGAGCAAGAAAAGGCTAGCACTGAGATTCAAACCTTGATTTTGCTTTAGGTTACATGTCTTAATGTTCGGTATTCTTAACATTTTGTTGATGCTTCTTGTTCCAGTGGTTTTTCCGTTAATATGTTCTAGATAATACTAAATATGTTTCGCAGTAGATGTGAATTACTTGTAAGAGCAAATCGATCTTGAAATACTTATGTGGAAAATTCTGATTTAAGGTATTTCTTTCTTTCTTCTGGGCTGCTTTTTTAACATGAGGAATTTGGCACACTTTGTTGTCTTCCATATATGGTGGAAAGGGATACATCAAGTCTGTCGCTGGTGTTTTGGCAGTACCTAGGGAGGGGCTGAGTTATTTCCAATTATAAGGAATTATCGTGATCGTGAAGTTGAAATTCTGGCCTTCTGAGATGGCCATTCAAAATGTTTTCAGTTCTTGCCATGCCTCTTAGTACTGTCAAGAAAGAGAGGATACTACAGCCAGTACCAGTAGTTACATCAAGTGTGTGCTTCTCGTGGATGAAAGTAGGTTGAGGAGCAAGACCTGATTTTTAGCATTTACATTCCATTGAATGTAAAAGGCTTTGTTTCTGTTGTTACTTTGGCCGATTCGACATAGACATTAATTTCCCACTTGGAGGGTGGAAGTTGCCCTCCGTTGAAAAGGACTGACTTGTGCAGAGGGAGTAGGGCTTGGTGCAGTGGGGAACGTGAAGATAGGAGCCTGTGTACTCTAACAGAGTCTCATCTTCTCCACCGTCTAGGAGTTCCATTGAAAGGAAACCTTGGAGGTTGCAAGACAAGTCCAAGATGTGCAGTTCAGTTGCTCCCAGGCTGTGGTTCTTAACAGACCGTCGCATCAGAGAAGATTACCCTCAGCAGGAGATCCTGAGAGCGCTGAAGGCCAAGTGCTGTGAAGAGGAGCTAGATTTCCGGGCCTTGGTGATGGATGAAGTGGTGCTGACCATTGAGGATGGAAATCTTGGTGAGAATGAGCTGAGGCTGGGAAAGTGCTGAAAGGGAAAAAGATTGTACAATGGAGCGTCCGTACGCTTTAATAATGAGTTCCATGTGTGGCAGGCTACCATGCACCATCTAAGTCATGTAGATGCACATGATGCTGCGTTCTTTAGCTTTTATTGTGATAATCAGACATGATTTGCATTAGTACTATTTTTGCCTTCCCTCTGTAGAACAGAGAGGAGAGTTGCTTTAGTTTGTTGATTCCAGGATAAGGACTATAGGAACTCTGAATTAAGAAGAAATTATGGAGTTTCATTTTTGCATAGGTACTGGAAGTTTATGGGTCACATTTCAGAGTTTCAGGGGGACTTTTTTCTTCTGTTTGTGTTCTGACTCCAACATACCAACACATTTAAAATAAACTAAAAGGAATTTGCAATGGACAGTACAAATTGTCACGGAACTAGAGGTAATACTGTGGCATAACTAAAGTATGCTGCTGTAGAGATGTGTAGTTACATGTATGCCAAAAAAGAATGGGGCTGAAAAGTGAGGTATGTGCATCAGAATAATTTGAAGTCTTACTACAGCTTACAGTGTTTCAAACTAAAATGTAAGATTTCTGTTCTGTTTTCCTATTAGCTTTTTTTTTTTTTTTCTGTGGTGATTAAAAAGGAAAAGCAAGACGTTAAGGTGTGTTAGAAATGTTAAGTAAAATGATTCCGTAGATAGTAAGCTTATGTTATAGGAAGACTATTAATACGACCAATGTGACTCTGAGTAATACTTACTATTATAATTTTTTTTGCCAACTTCTTTATTTGGATTTCCTAAAGGAAGGAGACTGCAGTGTTATTTTGTACCTTTACCTCTCCCGTTTCTCTTCCCCATATGTTGATCAAAAAAACCCCCAACTGCTGGAGATCCAGGGAAGAGTTACATTTCTGAAAGTTGTATTAGAATAATTCTGTGTAGGAAGAAAATATAAATGTATCCTCAGCCCTGCAGAAGAGGCTGCCATGTGATCTTACACCCTGTTCCTTACTGGGGAATCTATATAGGAGGGAAATCTTAAAACTGACTCTGGGGAAGAACACTCAGAATTTGTAGCTTACCGTAGCCTGAATCAATCAAGCATAAAAGAAATGCATGGGAAAACAGGATTTTTGATTTCTGATATTACTAAGCCTTTATTTACGTATTTTGTCTTTTATTCTGAGGTGGCTATGATTTTTATCAGAGGCTTGAAATTCTGTAGGATGTCTTCAAATCAAGGCAACTTCTTGTCAGAACGTCTGAACATCTGATTGCTCTGAGCGTGCTGTCCTTTGGACAGCGTGTTCTGCGAAGGCAGCCATCCTGGCCTTAGCGGCAGCCTCTGAGATGCATAATTGGTTCTTCGGCATTTCAGTATTGTTTTTATTTCTTGGTGATGTTTCCTTCTTTCCTGTCTTCTGCCTGTTTTGGGGTAATTAAATACGGCAAGCCTGAGTTGTGGACCTTTCTGCTCTCTTCCATTTAATGTCTCCTAATGCTGCATCTGTTGCAAGAAGAAAAGATAAAGTAAGCAAGTTGGAAGGCTAATACTGAGGAATGTTTAGTACAAGAATGAGAAAAATTAAGGAAATGACTGGAAAGAGAATGGAAAAAAAGGAAATTATTTTCATACAAAGTGTTCATTCAAAACTATGTAAATAACGGACCTTTTGAAAAGGAGTGAGATAAAAATGCTGAAAGATTGTGGATAGAAATTTCCTTATAAATAATCTGGACTGACTAATTGTGGTTTTTTTATTATTATTTTTTTTTAATTTTTTGAGGAAGGGTAGGAGTTGTCTTACCTCAAACAATTCTTTCTCTTGGAGAGAGATGAAAAATCTTCCCTCTTAATTTTTCAGTTTTCTTTTTCTTAGTGTTTGCCCACATGTTTTGATACAGATCTCTATGGAAGACACAAGCAAAAGTTTTGTGTTTCATTTTCCTTGTTAAAGTCCTCGTTTGGCCTAGGAAAAGGTGTCCTGGAACAAAATCCGGGAGCTAATGCATTCTCTACCCTTTCTGTTATCTGCTGTTGTCTGAGGGGTCCAAATTGAGTAAAATTTTGCACAACATAGAGGAGTTGATGAAGAGAATCTTCAGTGGACAGTAACCTGTTTTTACTTCCAGTTCTGCCGTTACTTGTGTTGAAACCTTAGCGATACACGGCTCAAACTCTGATGGTAATACATGGTCTTGGGCGAAGTAATAGTTAGGTTTTCAGATAATTACACTTGTGATTTTTTTTGGTCCTTTAAAACCTAGGCAATTTCTTAAGTAAATTGTTAAAAGAATGTTGACTTTACAAAATCAAGTTGGAAATTACAGGATGCAATTTAAAACTTTAAAAATGTGGTGTTTCTGTAGATGATACAATGAGTGATACTTCTTTGTGGACTTAATGACTGTCAGGAACATGGCTGAAGACTTCAGAGACCAAAAATTCAGCATAGGAGATTAAAAAGCTTGAAATTATTTACCTCACAGAGGTAAAGTAGACTGGAACAGACATTTCTAAACTGAGGAAAATTGAGCAGAAGAGTGGGATGCGTACCAAAATTGAAAATCAGTCCTTCCACCGATGAGGTGGTGTATACCTTAACAGTAGAGCACAGTGCTGTGAGTATCACCAAAGCCCAGAGCCTAAGACAGATGTAGAAAACTTCTGCAATGCTGAGACTCTCGCAGAAGGTGTGTATGTCAGAGAGTGATAAGATTTGCTGTGTACCTGACATGGCCAAATGGAGCGGTAGGGTTGTTTTGTTAGTGGGCCTGGCAGCAGCGACTCCTTGGGGCATTGCTCTGCTGTACTGCAGGGCTGGATGGGGAGCGTGGCTGCATTCCCAGGCAAGCCAGCAGCATAGCTCCAGCAGTCCCTGCTGCTTCCTTTTCTTCCGCAGCTGAAACTTGGGATGACCTGGCATCCCAAACACCCCCCTCAGCCCCCAGTATTGCTGGCCACATGACGAACTCGTGTGCAGCCCAAAATCCACGACACAGCAGGAGTCCAAAAATGATGGTAAATGCAAGTTAAGAGTTGTAGAACTCGCGTTTTTCCTTTAAGTTTAGAAGGAAACTCTTAAACTGATTTGTACTTAAACTGTTTTGGAAATAGTTGAAGTTCAACAAACAGTTCTTGAAAATAACTGTGGTTTATACCTTGTTTAAGTAAGTGCCTGCTTAGCCGAGCCATACATTCCTGTTTTCTTTGCACACTGGCAGTAGTACTCTGTAGATCTCCAAGGCAAAAGCTGAGTTAAAATAAATGGAAAAGTCCAGCTGTGTAGAACAATGAATATTTTTCTCCTGCTTTGGTGGGCTGAACCTGCTGAAATGGTTACTGGATCAGACATGCACAACATTGATGCACAGGAATGGACAGGAATGCATGTATGGAAAAAAATGGAGGGTGATATTGGAGCTGTTCTGATTTAAACTGGCTCAAACTGTGGTGTCTCTGCAGCCTAAGTTTCTTAAGAGGTAAATTCTTGAAGGTAAACCAGTCTAGCATGATGTACTGCGGAACGGAGCAGCCGCGTTCCTCCTGTCCCTTTCCAGCCTTGCTGTTGCTGCTTGCCTTGTATAAGGACTTCATGTCTCTCTTGGCTTGCTTTCATGCTGTAGATAAGCTAATCTAATTCAAAAAAAAAGTTGACCAAATTCTCTGCTCAGTTGCAGGATCTGGCATTTGTGTGAGTTGAGTTGGCTAATCCAATGGAACTCCTAACTGCCCAAATAATTAACAGTTTTCTGTTGGAATAGCTTGCTACGTTAACCCGTTTTGTGGTCACACAATTGCTAGGTCTAGTACACGAGGGCAGGGGAGAATGGGGTTGCTCTTTTAGGGAATGGCTTGTTTTTATTTTGATTTAGTTGTAGCTTCAAGGCATACTTTAAAATGGGAATTTTCTTATGGTTGGGATGCTTGATAGCGTCAGCTTTAGGATTTTGTGTGTGTGTGTTTCTTTCAAGCATCTGGTATTTACTGCTGTAAGGAAAGCACTGGATTACGAAATTAAGTGGCTAGTTGCCTTATCTAGTTTGGCAATTCCTATATTCATTTGAAATACATAGCAGGTAATTTAGCAAAACTCTGCATGTTTTCAAACAGACATCTGAAGCCTTTACCAGTGAGTCCTGTTAAAACATGTAATTTTAAACTATTTATCTAAGTTTGCTAGTGCAGTGATGTAACAAGCTTGGGGAATTTGAAACAAGACAAATTAAAGCTTGTGAGCAGGAGTGTGCGGGGTGAGATGGGGGCGGAGGTGGAGGCAATAAGCATGCTATGAGACAGAAGACAAAAGCTAATTCTTTGGTTGTCTCCTATGTCTGAATAGAGCACTCTTTCTGTTCTCACCCATGTTTAGGACTTAGCAGTAACCTTCCCCACAGTCTGCACACCTTACTTATAGGGAAACACAGTTCAAGAACTGTTGGTTGGTGAGGAACACGCTAGGGAAATTTTGATCATTCCTTCGTTAAAGTTATGTACAAGAATATCTTCATTAAAATTCTCTGCTACCAGAATAGCAGAAGTTGGAGACCACTGAGGCAGCAGCTTACCGATTCCTTCGTTGTAGGTTTTTGGAATCACCATATATTCTGATACTGTCCTGTGAAGGAAGGTAGTTTCAAGGAAAGTTGCTTTCGTGAACTTTCAGCTATTAAAGATGCTGGAGTGAGTGGAATTGGAGTGTCCTAAAGCGTAAAACAATGGGTGAACTTTTCCTAAGACTTTCTTGGCTTTTCCTTTGGGAATATAAAAGCAAGTAATCAACCTAGGTGAGGAATAAAGAGGACAGAGTAGTACTTTGTGTGTGGTCAGCTGGCTTTTCTTGAGTTAGATGGATGACATCTGGGAACCAATCTCTTGGCTTCATTTTCTCTGCAGAGAAAGTATAGATTCTTCTAGCTTGGTAAAGGTTGCTGGCGTGCTGGTTTAGGCTTCTGGGTTTCCTGTGTGGGCCTAAAATTTGCAATATT